TGCCAAGAGTGTCTGTGTCTCTAAGGAGCTGACTGCTTTTACCAGATCCTGGAACTCTGTCCTTGGCCTTTCTCAGTTGGTGCCTTGGTAGCCAAGAGACCCAGAACAAAATGTAACACCACATTAAGACCCCCGATGTATCCTGGGTTTTCAGTAAAATTAGGTGATCATTTCCTTATGTTTCAAATTTATATTTTGATTTAAGGTTTACCTGTGTAGTTTGTACATAGGCTTATCAGTTATTTCAAATTCTTTATAAACTATTAACACCAGTAAATAACTATAGAGATTATCTTTTGTTCAAAGACATGATTTGGAAATTAATGTAGAACATCCAATAAAATAAATATTATAACCTTACTGCTACCAAAAAATTTTAACCAGAGTTTTAAATCATGCACTCCTTTTTAAAATTATTTTCTTTCCCAGGTATTAAGCACTGGTTGATTCTCCTCTATTCTCAATATCGTACAAGCCAACAACTATACAACCATCACACACACACACAAAATCCACTCCAGCCGCTTTCAAAGAGACCCAGCACACCACTGAGGAGGGGCTAACCAAGCAGAGACCGCCAGATCCCACCACCAGATCCCACCACCAGATCCCACGGCTTTCTGAGACCCACATCAGATCCTGCAGCTGTGGCAGAGAGGGTGATGCATGGCCCCCAGAAACTGCCACAGCATCTGTCCTACAAAGCAGTAATTGTAAACTACAATTGTGACAAACATTTAATTTCCTTAAAAATCTTCTACATTGAAACTTAAAGACTAAATGGCAGGCTGGGCGTGGTGGCTCACACCTGTAATCCCAGCAATTTTCGAGGCCGAGGTGGGCAGATCACTTCAAGTCAGGAGTTCGAGACCATCCTAGCCAACATGGTGAAACTCCATCTCTACTAAAAATATAAAAATGAGCCAGCCATAGTGGCATGTGCCTGTGATCCCACAACTTTGGGAGGCTGAGGGAGGTGGATCACTTGAGGCCAGGAGTTCGAGAGCACCCTGGCCAACATGGTAAAACCCCACCTCTGCTAAAAATACAAAAATTAGCTGGGCATGGGGGCGCACACCTGTGATCCCAGCTACTTGGGAGGCTGAGGCAGGAGAATCACTTGAACCTGGGAGGCAGAGGTTTCAGTGAGCTTAGATTGTGTCACTGCACTCCAGCCTGAATGACAGAGTGAGTCTCTGTCTCAAAACAAAACAAAAACTAAACTAAAAAACCCTGAATGGCTGGCACCATTTTATTACTTGGTATTCCTTTCCTAAAAAGGAAAAACTGATTTTTTACATTGCTGATGCCCCACATCTACCTCAAGTTGTTTTTGGCAAGTTCCAATACTTCAACACCTCGAAGTACTGAAATACAAGCTTTTTACTTGGCTATTGCTGATGCCCCGTATGAGCAAAATGAACTTGTAGCCTTAACATAAACACATTCATTGGAAACATTCATTGTTAAAAGACCAAAAAAAGACATGTGATTTCATCAGAACCAAAACGGAGGCTTCTACTCTTTTGTCCTATTTGGAAAAAGCCTGATGTCCTATTCCCACCAGGAACCTGACAGCAAATGTGAGCATCACAGCTGTGTTCACGGAGGGTATGCCGGCAGGAACGGGCAAGAAGAGCTGTCGGGAAGGGGTAGCTTTTGTAGTCAGTAAATCTTTCAAAACTAGTAAAAAAGCAATGCCAGGGCCAGGTGTGGCTCACACCTGTAATCCCAGCACTTTCGAAGGCCAAGGTGGGCGGATCACTGGAGATCAGGAGTTCAAGACCAGCCTGGCCAATGTGGTGAAACCTTGTCTGTACTAAAAATGAAAAAATTAGCTGGGTGTGGTGGCAGGAGCCTGTAATCCCAGCTATTCAGGAGGCTGAGGCATGAAAATTGCTGGAACCCAGCAGACAGAGGTTACAGTAAGCCAAGATGGCGCCGCCACACTCCAGCCTGGGCAACAGAGCGAGACTCCGTCTCAAAAAAAAAAAAAAAAAAAGGCAGATATAACAGAAAACTTCCAAATTTAAAATAGCAATAGTCATAGATGTTAACATATCCATGAGTCTTACCTAATTTATCAAGGGACACTTTTTAAGTTTAAGAAATTAAAATTTTATCCTTTAATTAAAAGTGACTGATAATAGACATCAAACAATAAGGCTTAGAAAATGCTCAGTGAGATTCCTCTCAAGAGAAGGCTCACACAGTGACAACATTTCTTTTCTTTTTTTTTTTTTTTTTGAGATGGAGTCTCACTGTGTCGCCCAGGCTGGAGTGCAGTGGCGCGATCTCGGCTCACTGCAAGCACCGCCTCCCGGGTTCATGGCATTCTCCTGCCTCAGCCTCCCCAGCAGCTGGGACTACAGGCGCCCGCCACCACGCCCAGCTACTTTTTTCTAGTTTTAGTAGAGACGGGGTTTCACAGTGTTAGGTAGGACGGTCTCAATCTCCTGACCTCGTGATCCACCCGCCTCAGCCTCCCAAAGTGCTGGGATTACAGGCAACATTTTTGCACCGGTTTTACATAATAAAGTCTGCCAGTCTCTTACTTTAGAATGGAGGAAACTGAAGGCCGTAGACCTTACGTAAGTTGTCCAGAGCTCTTGGTCCATTAGTGATGCAGTGAAAGCCAGCATCGGGCCAAGGAACTGGGAAATAGTTCTTTTTCAACTCTACCACATTAGATCTCCTAGATAACTGCGTGTATTAAAATACTTAGTGTTCTAATAATTACATACCACATGAGTCATGGCAAAAATGATGACTTTTAAAAAATTAAACAAAAATTTACTGGAAAGAGCTCCTGGCCGGAGCATTTCCGTGACTCCTCCCTATCATCCCAACTAATGGTTCCTCTACGGCTCAGGTGCTTCTGCACTAATGAGTCAGCGGCAAGTCTCCGAAAGAAGACAAAGCCCAACTTGTTTTCAAATCAAACTCTAGGGAGCACTTCTTAAGCAGGGAAAGAGGTCTCAGGAACAGATCCATACACATATTACATGGGACACATCCATTCATTTTGCAGTGGAATGCACCTTGGTTAAGGATAGGAATGTTTCAAATTATTTGGAAACATCATGATTTTTCCTGCAAAACGATGGCTATAAAATTAAATGTAGCTCACACCTCTTTACAACTTTTTATAATTGTACATTTAAAAATAAGTAAAAGAGGATATTTGAATTGTTTGTAACACAAAGGATAAATGCTGGAGGGGATGAAGATTCCATCTTTCATGATGTGATTATTTCACATTGTTTGCCTGTATCAAAATATCTCATATACCCCCTAAGTATATACACCTATTATGTACACATAAAAATTAGAATAAAAATTTTTAAAAAACTTTTTAGCCAAATTCAATTTTTTTTTTTTTTTTTTTTTTTTGAGACGGAGTCTCGCTCTGTCACCCAGGCTGGAGTGCAGTGGCCGGATCTTGGCTCACTGCAAGCTCCACTTCCCAGGTTCTCCTGCCTCAGCCTGCCGAGTAGCTGGGACTATAGGTGCCCGCCACCTTGCCTGGCTAGTTTTATTTTTGCCAAATTTAATTTTTATGTAACAGTGTGATAAAGTTTAACTACTGACTAATGAACAGATGATTAGGGGAAAACGAATTTTTCTCATGGGTGACTAACTTCTTTTGAAAACATAAACAATGCAGTGTTTTAGACTTTTAGATTAAGTGCTGACATATATATTTCTTCATAAAATAATACTTTACTTATTTCAATTATGTAATTCAATAATTTACTATTTTATACAATAACAATCATAATATAATTGACTAAATTTAATCACTGAAATTGCAAAATTATCTGAAAAATAGCCCACAATTCCTTTGGTTTGTAACAGAGGAAGTCAGACAATCGTTTAATGAGGGGCGCTCATCAGACATTCCTGCCTCCACAAATGCTAGCATGGGGATTTGGGAGTAGTTTGTAATTTTTCTTTTGATTTTACTAAAGAACAATCAAAATAATTGCTTGATGTCACTCATAATGTTTCACTAAAAAGGAAACGAAATGCAAGGCCGTGAGGAGAGGCCTCCCAGATATGCTGCAGATGCACCTGCTTTAGAATCAGTTTTGTGACCTGGGTCTGCTCACTGAGGGTTTGTTAGGCTGGAATGACCTTGGTCTTTGCAACCCAATTTGTAAAAGTAAAGCTAAAAACATATTTTAGCCTGTGAACTCTTTTACCTCATCATAATTGAAACCTTTCTATTGAAAGACACGTCTTCATGAATAGCATGGGGAAAAAAACGCTTACCAGAAAAACATCTAAAGGACTGATGTGTACCTGAAAGTCAGCCACGGGCATGTAACATATAATTCTGTCATGATACATTTTGAGCAAAATCATCACCTTCCCCCTTAGTTTCTAAAGGTTTTCCACACCCATCCCTGTCGCAGACCTGAAATGCCAGTATTTACAAGATAAACGTAATCACTGCAGTCCCCAAGTCTTGCAAGCTTGATCTGCCCTGACCTTCACTTGACCTGACCTCACCCCGTAGCCGTCCAGATGTAAGAATGGGCTTAGTTTCCCAGGAGGAACCTTGTTAAATGGTGGAAATGGAGTCTACAGAGAGGTCAGAAGGTCACATTTTAATTGACCGTTCATTGTTTACCATCCTGCCGCTCCCAGAATGAGGAAGTGAGGAAGGAGAAACAGGGCTCCTCGGTAAGCAGTGGGAGGCTCTCAGGGGGCCACGTGCTGAGCACCACAGATGCAGATGGGAAATGAGTTTAAGGCTGGCCTGAATTTGTGTCATCCTAAGGAAGGTCACCTATTCTGCCCACGAGATAGAACGGCTTATGTTTAACCGAGAACCCCTTCAAGAGACAAAGACTGAGTTCCAGTGAGAGAAGAGAAAGCAAGCATAACGTGTATTGCTTTCCAGCAACACCTGCCCACACATTTCATCATTAGGACGAGGTCCCCAAATAAGTCACTTTAGGCAGCACATTGTGGAAAAAAAATGCAGGCATTACCTTCTGTGTCTTGCATATTTGCCACTGACATGACCACTGCCGTCACAGCCAGGGGTGGGACAGCTGCAACAGGAAAGAATGGATTACACGGTGCCGCAGGCAGGCGGGTGAGACGGAAAGCTTCCGTGGCAGCAGAGAAGAGGGCAGCCCGGACAGAGGAGAGAAATCACACAATCCAAAGGAGGGGGCAATTCGGGGAGGCTTTTTACGAGCAAGTCTTGGGGGAATTAATTTCATCAGTGCAGCGGGGTGTGAGCAGGCCACCCATGAGCTCGAAAGTGCAGTGTGCCCATTAGAAGGCGTGAATTTTCCAAACTGCGAATGGGGATGCATTTTACCCACACGGCACTAACCTGAACAGCTCTTGTATGGCTGGTTCCACGGGAACTGCAGAGAGATGGAAATAGATAACAATTTACCATCCATCACAAGCAACCCTCTTCCACAGAAAATTACCAAAAGGGTGGCGTGAAAGTGGGGTCAGAGTGAATCGACCTCGGTTCCGCAGGACGAAGGTGACCCTGAGCTGGCCTCAGGAGGCAGGGAAGCGCGGACGTACCTCGAACCCCTTTGGACCGCGTGCGATGCCGCTTCTCCTCGGTGTCCACCTCCATCTGGGGATAGATTAGCAGCAGTCAATGTGCTTATCCAGCCTATGCTGGCCAGCCCTGTAGGGGTGGCTCGCTCTCCCTGGCATTCTATTGATGGGGCTTTAATCCTGTTTCATTCCGTGAAGTGAAGCCCTCCACAAGGGCAGGGGGTGGGTAAGACCGGGGTCAGGCAATCTAAATATATTATTCAAACAATTATAAACAGAGGGATTCAATGTAGGGAACATTGAGTCAGGAGGCCCTTGCCCTCTATAATGGGGTAGATTTTGATGAATCTTGAAGTACCATCTATTTACTCTCTTTTCAAGAATTTGATGGAGGCATATCTGTGTGCTTCTGAGTTGTAATTTGTACCAAGAATATAACAGCCATTAGGTTTACAAGAAGGTAAATATATATATTATATATATGTATTTTTATGTATCTTATGTATATATAAAACATATATTAAACATATATATTTTGTGTGTATATATATAAACCTTTCAGTTATAAGAATCTAAATATTATATAAACATTATATATAAGATATACATTACATTTATATATACACATGCATATTTTATATGTATATAATATTTAGATTCTCCTTGTAACTGAAAGGTTTAATCTGATTAAGCAGTTAAGACAAGAGGCTGTAGGTATAGTGGAAGAACATGTTTTACCATCAGGGATGCACTCTCAATATTGTTTAGTTCCTGGAATGCAACTATCCTCCACATTTATCTAAATTGCTAGGTTTCCTTTGAGGCATCTAGACCTTCCACTCATAGGAACTAACACATCTTATACTTGAGACATTACAGCTGCTTTTATATTACTTTGTGGGATCTTCACAACATTTTTTTAAGGAAAGTATTTTTATTATACCTATTTAATACACAAGAAAACTAAAATTCAGACCACCTGAGTTAAAACCAAGATCATGTGAGTAGAAGGTTTTGGAGTAGGAACCAAAAAATCACATGTCTGCCTATGCTCCCTCTAAGCCTCAGGAGCATGCTGTTGCATGGCAAATACATGTGAGTACATTAGTTCAGCAAATATTCCCACAGTACGCCAAGTGTCTGCACATGGCAAACTGGAGAGGAGAAGAACTCTACTCAAGCCGACGGGGAGTTAAGAAGAGACGAGCAGTAGAAGCTGGCCAGAGCCCCATTGAACGAACGGCCTCTACACCGGCTCACAGGGTACACCACAGCCACTTCCTCCATGGTTCAGAGGAAGAACATTGGAACTGAGTGAAGAAGACCCATTAGATGCCTGTGGCGCTATTCGATGCACACTCCAGAAAAGAACAGGGTAGACCTGCCGCTAAAATAAACTACAGCACTAGCAAGACACGACTCAACAGATACAATACGAACGGCATCAGAAATCCACATGGACAGTGCCTGATTTAATGTTTATATCAACTAACCAGCAGCTATTTATTGATGAATACTTTGGCTAAGTATTATGGTATCACGGGATAAAAACATACATATAATACAAACATAAGCTCATTTAATTAGCTTAAAAATTTCTTAATGGGCTGTATCTATGAACAGATATAACGATGTGCCAGATTTAACATCAAAACAAAAACTTCAGCAAAGGAGGAGCCAATGGGAAGTGGAAGCCGAGGAAAGATGCTCGGGGAAAGCTGTGATCCATGAGAATTGTTTGTGTAGGTGTGAAAGGAAGGAAAAGAGACTGTCTCTATGACTTGTATCTAGAGGCTTGACATCCAGTTACTGAGTGAATGAATGAATGAATGAATGAATGAGTCCATTTGCTGGGAATGCTGCAGGTCAAGGAGGTGCCTGAGGTGGAATGTTGGAAAGACAACACTGGATGGCGCACACGACAGGCCCGAGCCAGGGCCGTGTGCAGAGGTGACTGGATAGCGCACACGACAGGCCCGAGCCAGGGCCGTGTGCAGAGGTGACTGGATGGCGCACACGACAGGCCCGAGCCAGGGCCGTGTGCAGAGGTGACTGGATGGCGCACACGACAGGCCTGAGCCAGGGCCGTGTGCAGAGGTGACTGGATGGCGCACAGGACAGGCCTGAGCCAGGGCCGTGTGCAGAGGTGACTGGATGGTGCACACGACAGGCCTGAGCCAGGGCCGTGTGCAGAGGTGACTGGAGAGTGCACACGACAGGCCTGAGCCAGGGCCGTGTGCAGAGGTGGAAGGGATGTCCGGGGAGGCCCCGCTGGTCCAGCTGAATAGACAGCTGCTGGCCTTTCCTGAGCATGGGGAGGACGAGTTGCAAATATGTTTTAGGAAAAAACAAGTTAGTGGCAGCTTGAGAGAGGGCATGGAGGGGGCAGGCAGTGCAGTTGGGAGCAAGCTGGGAGGAGACCAGCAGTCGCCTAAGAAGAAAGGGCTTGGGCAGTGGCCTCAACAGCATCTGTGGCTTAGTCCCATCGTCAGTCAATTCGGGAACATAGTTGGCTGGGAAAGAAAGAAATGGATTTAAAAAGCTTTCTGATGGAAGAATTCACACAACACAATGGCTCATCAGGCAGCTTTTGGGTTTTCTGTCCTTTCCTATGACTTGAAGATATGCCTGGGATATGAAACTCTGACTGTGGCCACATTACGTGGATTTGACATTTAAATAAATAGCACCCCGAGTAACACATCGATGCTCTGAAATTGCTATTCAACATGAAAATACTTCAAAACACCAGAAAATTCTAGCAAAGGGATGTAGGGCCAAAGTGACATGAGGCAGAGATGAACTAAGAGTCAAGAAGCCTAAAGTGATGGCGAAAACGCCATTCACATCCACGAGAAACGGTGTTTCCCGGGGTCCCCCGCCCTTGTCACAGGCCATTCACATCCACGAGAAAAGGCGTTTCCCAGGGTCCCCCGCCCTTGTCACAGGACTGGGGATGCAGAGATAATGGGGTAAAATCGTATTCTTTAAAGAATTCAAAATAGAATTAAAACCTTTAATGAAGGCCTACACGTTGAGAAACATTCTCCAGGGGCTGTGGTGGAAGCTTGGATGAGGCTTCCATTGGATTCCATGGATTCCATTCCATCATTCCATCAGACGAGGATTGGGAAGAAGAAAGAGAAATTTCCTGGAGAAACTGATATTTGGGCTGAATTTTAAAGGTTAACTGGATGTTTCATTCTGGTTTAGTCTTGGGAGGGTGTATGTGTCCAGGAATTTATCCATTTCTTCTAGATTTTCTAGTTTATTTGCATAGAAGTATTTATAGTATTATCCGATGGTAGTTTGTATTTCTATGGAATCGGTGGTGATATCCCCTTTATCATTTTTTATTGTATCTATTTGATTCTTCTCTCTTTTCTTCTTTATTAGTCTTGCTAGCAGTCTATCTATTGATCTTTTCAAAAAACCAGCTCCTGGATGAAGTTGAATCCCTGAATAGACCAATAACAGGCTCTGAAATTGAGGCAATAATTAATAGCCTACCAACCAAAAAAAGGCCAGGACCAGACAGATTCATAGCTGAATCAGAGGTACAAATGTCAGAGGTACAAAGAGGAGCTGGTACCATTCCTTCTGAAACTATTCCAAATAATAAAAAAGATGGAATCCTTTTCCCTAACTCATTTTATGAGGCCAGCATCATCCTGATACCACAGCCTGGCAGAGATACAACAAAAAAAGAGAATTTTAGACCAATATCCCTGATGAACATCGATGTGAAATCCTCAATAAAATACTGGCAAACTGAATCCAGCAGCACGTCACAAAGCTTATCCACCACGATCAAGTCGGCTTCATACCTGGGATGCAAGGCTGGTGCAACATACTCAAATCAATAAACATGATCCATCACATAAACAGAACCAAAGACAAAAACCACATGATTATCTCAATAGATGCAGAAAAGGCCTTTGACAAAATTCAACAGCACTTCATGCTAAAAGTTCTCAATAAACTAGGCGTTGATGTGACGTATCTCAAAACAATGAGAGCTATTGATGACAAACCCACAGCCAATATCATACTGAATGGGCAAAAACTGGAAGCATTCCCTTTGAAAACTGGCATAAGACAGGGATGCCCTCACTCACCACTCCTATTAAACATAGTGTTGGAAGTTCTGGCTAGGGCAATCAGGCAAGAGAAAGAAATAAAGGGTATTCAATTAGGAAAAGAGGAAGTCAAATTGTCCCTGTTTGCAGATGACATGATTGTATATTTAGAAAACCCCATCGTCTCAGCCCAAACTCTCCTTAAGCTTATAAGCAACTTCAGTGAAGTCTCAGAATACAAAATCAATGTGCAAAAATCACAAGCATTCTTACACACCAATAACAGACAAACAGAGAGCCAAACCATGAGTGAACTCCCATTCACAACTGCTTCAAAGAGAATAAAATACCTAGGAATCCAGATTACAAGCGATGTGAAGGACCTCTTCAAGGAGAACTACAAACCACTGCTCAATGAAATAAAAGAGGACACAAACAAATGGAAGAACATTCCATGCTCATGGATAGGAAGAATCAGTATCATGAAAATGGCCATACTGCCCAAGGTAATTTAAGATTCTATGCCATCCCCATCAAGCTACCAATGATTTTCTTAACAGAATTGGAAAAAACTACTTTAAAGTTCATATGGAACAAAAAAGAGCCCGCATTGCCAAGACAATCCTAAGCAAAAAGAACAAAGCTGGAGGCATCACGCTACCTGACTTCAAACTATACTACAAGGCTACAGTAACCAACACAGCATGGTACTGGTACCAAAACAGAGATATAGACCAATGGAACAGAACAGAGTCCTCAGAAATAATACCACACATCTACAGCCATCTGATCTTTGACAAACCTGACAAAAAGAAGAAATGGGGAAAGGAATCCCTATTTAATAAATGGTGCTGGGGAAACTGGCTAACTATATGTACAAAGCTGAAACTGCATCCCTTCCTTACATTTTATACAAAAATTAATTCAAGATGGATTAAAGACTTAAATGTTAGGCCTAACCTAGGCGATACCATTCAGGACATAAGCATGGGCAAGG